TCTACCCCAGCCCTCTTCTTGTGAAATATAGCAGTTCATGGCTCTTGCCAAACCTCAAAGAAAACGATTCCCATGGGCTTTCCCCCTGCCACAGCTGAGTAGAAAGACACTCAGAAATCCACCGGATAACCAATGGCCACCTAAATGGTCTTCTAAGAATATGAATTAGGAGGCGCAGAAGCCAAGCAGCCCTGGTGAGGAATGGGCTTACACAATTGAATGGACTGGCTGGGAGACAACACCATATTTTGGGGGTGGCGGGTGGCAAGTGGAGCAAGTAAATATAATAGATGTATTCAGTGAGGTTTAAACTTGATAGCCATGACAAAACTTAAGTCCTATGGAGGGAAAAGTGCTTCCAGTCACACTCTCCAGCCCCTCACACTCTTCCCTGCTTTTTCTTCGGAAATGGTTGTTTGTAGAATGAAACTTTTTTTTTTTCCTCATAGCTTAAGGTTTCCTAGGAATGTAACAAATTGCTACAGCAAACAGATGAACCGTAGTCATGCTAGCTAAGACCTGGTGAGTATATAAGTAATAAGCTTTTTTTTTTTTGAGATGGAGTCTCACTCTGTCGCTCAGGCTGGAGTGCAGTGGCACAGTCTCCACTCACTGCAACCTCCACGTCCCAGGTTCAAGCAATTCTGCCTCAGCCTCCAGAGTAGCTGGGGTTACAGGTGCCCACCACCACACACAGCTAATTTTTTACATTTTTAGTAGAGATGGGATTTTGCCATGTTGGCCAGGCTGGTCTTGAACTCTTGACCTCAGATGATCTACCTGCCTCAGCCTCCCAAAGTGCTGGGATTACAAGAGCGAGCTGCCATGCCCATTTTTATTTATTTATTTTTTTGAGATGGAGTCTTGCTCTGCCACCCAGGCTGGAGTGCAGTGGTGTGATCTCAGTTGTCTGTAGCCTCTGCCTCCTGGATTCAAGGCTGTTCCTTTGTACCTCAAAGGATACAAATATCTTGTTAATGACCACAGCCAAAGGGCTCAGATTTCAGGCCCAGTTTGCCAGTTAGCGGCAACAAAACTTTAGGCAGGTACTAATCTCTCCCAATATCAGTACCCTGATGTAAAAATAGAACAAAAACATTCATGGCCCATGTGGTGGCTCACGCCTGTAATCTCAGCACTTTGGGAGGCCAAGGCGGGCAAATCACGAGGTCAGGAGTTTCAGACCAGCCTAGCCAGCATGGTAAAACTCCATCACTACTAAAAATACAAAAATCAGCCACGTATAGTATGCGTGCCTATAGTCCCAGCTCCTCAGGAGGCTGAGACATGAGACTTGCTTGAACCCGGGAGGTGGAGGTTGTAGTGAGCTGAGGTTGTGCCACTGCACTCCAGTCTGGGCTACAGGGTGATACTCTGTCTCAAAAAACAAACAAACAAAAAAACCCAGAAAACAAAAAAGTTCATGACAATGAGGAAGATGAGATGGGAGATGCTGTGACAGACAGGGACCAGCCAGCTTCATCCCGCCGACCAGAAGGCAGCGTTTCCTCTACATCTTTCTCACCCTCTAGGCAGAAGCCTAGGGGAGGCACAATGCCTGTTCCATCTCATTTTAGAGAAGTAGCATTTTGCCCTTGTTTTCTTTTTTGAAATAAATACTTGCTTTATGCTTATTATAGTTTATTTGTGATCACTGTGAAAATTTTAAGCACATTTTATTGTACATATTTAAGGTATACAATATGATATGTACATATACTTATCTCGCTATTCATATACACAGGGAAGTGATTACTACAGTCAGGCAAATTCACCATCAAATCATCAGCTCATGTAATGACCTTTCTTTTGCTTTTTTTTTTTTTTTTTGAGAGGGAAGCTCGCTCTGTCACCCAGGCTGGAGTCCAGTGGTGCGGTCTCAGCTCACTGCAATCTCCGCCTCCCAGGTGCCAGTGATTCTCCTGCCTCATCCCTGTGGGTAGCTGGGATTACAGGAGTGCACCGCCACACCTGGCTAATTTTTGTATTTTTACTAGGGATGGGATTTCACCACGTTGGCCAGGTTGGTCTTGAACTCCCGACCTTAAGCAATCCACTGCCTCAGCCTCCAAAATTCCTAGGATTACAGGCATAAGCCACCACACCCAGCATCATGACCTTTCTTTTTTGTGGTCAGAGCACCTAAAATCTATTCTCTTGGCAAATTACCGGTACATATGCAGTATTGTTAACTACAGTCCTCATGTTATACATGCCATCTCTAGACCTACTCATGCTACATAATTGCACTTTCATATTTTTACCTACACCTTTGCAGCCCCCAAAGATGTACTACTGAAGTTGCTCTGAGCCAAGATGTACAGAGCTGCTCAGCTCCCCACCTAGGCCCCCATGGTGGTGTGACAGCATCTGGGGAAAAGGATCCCAAATGGTATCCCAGGATAGAAACATTAGAAATTCTCCACTC